CGTCTGCAGCAGGATGGGTGGGAGCCTTACCCCAGACTACCAAGCGCTGCTCTTAGAGAAGACATGAGATTCAAGCCGTTTCCCTAACACCCTTCGCAAACGATCCAAACACAAAGCAGTTGTACAACCTGTACTCACCCCTACGCTGACTGCTGTATTTCTGAATTGGAATGGCAGTTTGTGTCTCACGCTGAACTTGGTGCTGTCAGTGCATAATTATCAGGGTTAAGCACGCCTGCCTGAGGCTTCGCCATCAGCACACTAACGTTACAAACTGCAAATGGGCTCAGGCTGGAGGCGCTCAGCTCTACCAAGGCAGCGGGTCCCCTGGGCAAGCAGACACAGGGAGCCTGCAAGTCTTAAGAAAGCTTGTGTGTGAAATAAGTGGGTGAAGATCAGCTTTGCCACAGGTGGCACCTCTTCTGATGTACTCAGAAGAGGAACCTGAGGCAGCTAGAAGACTTTACTGATAAATCACTGAGGCCTCCACAAATTCATGCTACCATGAAAGCAAGAATTTTGTGGATCTGCTCTCCAAGATCAAGGACACATTTTATATCAGCATCCAGTATTTTTTCTGGTTCCTAACAGAGCCTCTACATAGACGTTGTACCTGTACTTGCTATGATGCAGTGTATCTAAAAAAAAATAAAATTAAAAAAAATTAAAAAATATCTCTTGTAGTGAGAATTTCAGATAAGCAAGAGCAGGTCAGGCAGTATCTTTTGCCCAACTAAAGGGCATGTCAGGCTCTGGGTAATTCCCTGTCAGCGTTGTTTGTGCAGGTGTCTAGAGGTTCTGGTATTAGCAATAGGCAATATTTCATGCATAACATGCATTATGAAATCCATGCATTATGAAACATGGATACTAATGGAAAGATAAGAGCTGCTGCTGATGTAACAGCAGAAAAGAATGGAACCTGCTATTTCCCAGAGTATTAGCTCTCCACTACTACTGGAGGAAAAAACACTTTTGATTTTATTCTTGAATGGAGTCTATAGCCATAGGACAAATAAATGAGGGGAGAAGAAAACAGATATTAAAAAACCCTGGAAAACTAAACTAGAAAGAGCTATTTTACCATAATCATTGCTAGCTTATATACACATAATTTGACAAGATTTCTTTTAAAAGGAAGCCACACCGAGTAGCCATAAATGGCATAAGACACTGGAGACAACTGGAAAAATCCATTATTTCACACATTCTATATGATTTTTCAAATTACATTTTTCAGTAAATCATTGCAAAGGTAGTCTCTGTACTTCATCACTGAAAGTATAGTATATAAACTGAGCTAGGGTATTACTTTAGATGAACTAAAAATATTTTCTAGTTTCTATTAAAGCCTTGGCTGAAGAAGTGTTTGCACTGATTATATTAACTACCATTTGTTGGGAGTTTAAACAAAGTAACTACCGACATATAACAGAATATTTACTTGCTCTGTCAAAAGTATAACTATCAGTCTCAATCTTTGAGAGATAACCAAGTAAGCAGACAACACTGAAACCATTCTCAAAAACAATCTCTCTCTTAAGGGCAAACTCTGAGTCCTATTGGCAGTAATAAGTTTATTTAAGTAAGCTGATTTTTAAAATTTATTCACACACCCCACACCACAGAGGAAGAATAGTTATTTCTGTCATCCAAAAAAGACAAGTGGCAGTTTATAAAAAGCTGCACAATAAAAAGAGAGGTCTGCAATTTCAAAAGAGCTTACACAAAATCTTGGTTGTTTTATTACAGGCAAAAGCTATACAATTCCTAGTATCAGCACTTCAGCATCATCCTTAACTGTAAACATCCATAAAGCTGTCAGCAACATACAACAAATGGCTAACTAATACATCGTATCAGCAAGCAAGTGCTGTATTTTTCTCACAGCCATGTTTGTGAGCTGTGTTAGCACTATGTCAGAGAATCAATAGCTATGATTTCCCTTTGCCAGATGTTATTTGTCCTTTTCCTGTTTAATGTAAGCAGAAATGGGCTTCCAATGAAAAATTCATTAAGAATTCTATATAAAGCATTAACAGTCCAAATACAGTTTTTAAAAAGCAAAAAGTACGCATACAAAATTATACTGAATAAACAACACTGACATAGCTAAGCAATATATGCACTTTTAGTACAACAGCAACTAATGTAATCATGAGAGATGCATATAAAACAAGGAGTAAGAGATACTTTCTGAACAACATGAGAACAGCTTTTAAATTTAGCGTGGCACTCATCTGTGCTAGTTGCTTTTCTAACACTGGCAGTGGAATGTCACATTCAAGGAACTGGATAAACTCTGTGCCTGATGTAATGAACTCAACAGTTAAATTTTCATTGACTTAAGACGAAACATTAGGCCAAAGCTAAATGCATTGAAAATTCTCGGTTATGCAGCACTCTTACAGAACTATGTGGTCAAATGAATACTGAGTTTAGAAGGAAAAATTAGAAACAGCTTATCAAGCTGCCTCCTGCATAAGAAGGCCAAAAAGAATATTGTTTTAGGCATGCACAGGTGTACAAAGTGCTTTATATTAGTAAGAAGATAATATGGTTCCCGGCCCTAAACCTTCAATATAACGTAATCAACCTAGAGTGCAGAAAATCGAAAGCCGTAGCACACTAGAAAAAAAAGGCCAGCTAAGAGAGCAATACAATTAGCAGCCATTCAGAAAGTGCTACTGCACAGCACTGTGCTTTAAAAATAGTTAAATAAAATGTATTCGGACATTGGCAAGCTTCAGAGCTACTCACTTACACAGCAGCTTTCATCTGTCAACCAAAAAGTCAATTTTAAAAGGTTAACAAGAACATACAGATGAGAAAGTGCATGCGTATATCAGATCCCTGATTGCTTTTCTCTGAGATCATCTTGTTTAAAAACACTTTGCTTTGCAGACACAAAATCTAAAATGGCAGGTGGTTAAAAAATAACAAAACACAAAACTATCAATATATTAAAGATAATCTACTATCGTTTCGGTGGTTAATATTTATAAAATTAAATTTTGCAGAAAATTCAGAAAATTTGTGGGTTATTTGTATAAAGAAAAGGGAATAGGAACACCTTCATAAAAAACTGTGGTTCTTTGCTTATTATGCCAAACTCAACTAGGAAATACTCCAAATTCATACTGGATGCTAACTATGACACTGGAATTTTGATACAAGCAGATGTGTATTACCTATCTCATGCCCTGCCACCTTCCATGCAAACATTTTAAATGTTCATAGAGAACACGTTAAAAACGCTGGTGCTTCATCCATTTTGGTAACCAAGTCCTTTTGAAGGAAAATAAGCAACATTTGAGACTGAGCCTATGCTCCTCTGACTGGTCTTCACCACCGTGTCCTGGAGTCCTCCTGAAGGGGAAGAAGATAAATCCTTTCTCAAGCTATCCAGTGGATGCAACAAGAGAAAGCTTCTGGAATACAGCGTGCAGTGTAAGAAGGAAAGACACAGCGCATGAGGAGGAGTAAGTGAGGGGAGAAGACTGTGGGGAGAATCCTGGTAAGAGCAGGATGCAGAAAATCTTTCCTAGGGAACAAAGGATGGCATGAAAGTAGGGAATAGGATTGCACCGCTTGTTACAACCAAGGAATCTGAAAAATTTGTTGCAATTAATATAACCAGAGTAGGAGGCCTGCCCTAGAAGGCTCCTGCAGAAACAAGGGACTGTTTGCCTACTTTGTGCATCTCAGAAAAAAAGTTATAATTTCAATTTGATTCCTATAAATCACATTTTTAAAGCTTTTGTGTTTTGTGGATCCTTATTTTAAAAAGATAGGCACAGTTCCATTTCTGTTTCCATACAGGCAGTTTCATTTTGAAGTAGCATATGGGAAATTTACCAGCAATTATTATTTTATATTGTAATACACAACCAAGAGCTCCATAAGATATGGTGCAGACTTTGGAAATATTAGAGATGTGACTTTTGTACCTAAATATAACAACTCTGGAAATGTTCAATGCAGTTAATTCACCCAGACAGGAAAACCATTCCCTTTCATATAAAGGTCTGAAACAATGCTTCCCTTCTCTTTTGTGGTAGAGTGCTAGATCGTAGTCCGGAGCTAACACAAAATCCAAGAAAGTCAGGCTGCCCATGCACAAGTTCAATTAAGAGCTTGAAGAAGTTTTAAAACCCACCTCAGTTTTCAGAAAAAAAAAAAAAAAGATAAAAGATATAATGCTTTCGTCTAGGAGACTAACTTTCATCTTTTTAGGTGGTCCTTCTTAACTAAAAAGCAAATACGCAGGGGAAAAAGAGAGCAATGTAATGTTACATAACAATTGAAAAATATACAGTAATGTCTCTCAGCTCTTGCACAGAGAAAACAAGACAGTATTAAGGGTTTTTTCTCCCGAAACTTTGCTGCAGTATCGAATAAAACCTATTTAGAATTGCATGAAAGTCCTCAAACATACCATCTTGCATTTTAACCTTTCTACAACAAAACCAGTGACGTAACAACTCTCTGTGCGTCTACGAACGGACTGCCATCTTCATCAAAAACAAGCTAACTCATCTGATGTACTGTTATCACTTAAAAAACCCGCAAAGTGCTAGAATATGAACACAGAGATAACAATCTATATAACAGAACAGTTCCTGTTCCACCACACAGACTTAAAATAGCGTACTAGATAAAGGAAGTGCTATGAGTTTTAATCACCTCAAGCATATATAAAAGATCTTACTAGCCCCATGTTAGTGCTCACTGTGGACACAATAGATGTGGAAAATCTTAATAATGATAAGGGTTTCAAAAGTCTCTGCTTACTATATGAAGATAAAAGAGCTAATTTACTACCTCAAAGTCTGAAAGGTGGTTAACTCAACTGCTCATACCTTAGCCACAGCTGTTATCTGCTCCAGTGCCACAGTGTGAAGATCTTGATCTTTGCTTTCTACCAGCAGTTTCAAGGATGGCAGCAGGAGGGACTGGTTAAGCAGCAGCAAACATAATTCTTTTATACACTGGAAATAAAAGAAAACTAATTCGGTGAGATGTCTGGAGATACTAACATCATCATTCACACTGAAATTTATGAAAATTCTACATCAAATGCAAAATGAAAATAAACTTTTTAAACAAATGAACTCCCTGTTGGAAATAACTCTTCAGAAACTTGAAAGGACAAATTTTTAAAAAAATGTGGAATATCGGGTTATAAGTGCACCATTTGTTATATTAAGACAAGACAGGTACTGAATCACCATTACAACCCCGAGTTTTACAGAGCAATCACAGCTCTCTGTGGGACTAATATATTTGTGCTTACTGAAATACTGCAGAGCACAGGAAAAAACTTAACAGGCACCTGTGACACTTCTGTGACTCAATTATGCAACCGTAAAAGTGGAACAAAATGAAGAGGAAATAACAGTACATACCAGAGTTCATCATCATAAAGCTCTGTTGCAAAATCTTTTCAAGTTTCATAGAGATTTTTGTATGTAATTAAAGCTTAGCAAATTAACTTTCCCTCATTCTTCTAATTTCTCATATTTTATACTAAAGCACACATATAGCATCATAAATCTTCTGCAAGAAGAAACTGGCCAGAGAAATAGGGTTTTAAAACCAAAACAAACCAAACACCCCAAAACCCCCCAACAAACCTACTGTGCATTTCCAAATCTTTATCTTGACCTTTAGTTAAAAAAACCAAACAAAACCTTCTACATGTAACTCGTGGCTTTTTCTTTTTCCCTCAATATTGCAGTGATTTATTCATTTATACATTAAAACGTATTTCAACTAACAAATTATGTTATAAATCAAATTATAACTTCCCTTTTTGTCACTTTTCAAGAATTTTGGTCATTTGCTACAACCACTTCCCAATGAACCCAATGAGAGAAGTCCCGTATTCCAGGACAACTTATACTGAGTGCTCTGGGTATTGTATGACAGTCACCTTGAAAATGGTATCCAGCTCTTAGAGGTGCTCTCTGTTTCACACCAACATTTACAAAGCTATTGTCAAAAGAGCTCATCATCTAAATATTAAGTTGGAAGAATGCAAGCCATAATGGTTTTTGGTTTTGGGGTTTTTTTTTGCACCTTTTGAAGTTTAATGGCAAGTGTAACAACTTGATGACCAAAATACAACTATGCTTTTAGCAGCTGCTCGGTTTTAGTAGCTGTGAAACTAAAAGTCTAAAAATTATTTGAAGATGAAGAGACGTTAAATGCTTAAACTGTAACGTACTGCAGAGACACCTGGCTTGCTTGGCACAGGCAGCTATCTGGCTGCACGTTGCTCAGTCTATTCTAAATTTATACCTGCAAGAAACACTACCTAGCAAGATATATTCTATCACACTGAGCTCTGAGTCACTGAGGCAAGGCTTGTGCCCTTACCCAGACTTGTTCTTCCAAACTTGTATTCTATGCTGCTACTGATGATGTTTTCAGTGAAGGATATGATACAGGATCAAGGAATAAGAAGATTAAATAAATACGCTAAGCTTTGTCTGATCAGACGTATGCTTATTAAACTTCTGATGATTTCATATTCCATTGTATTTCTTTTGAGAAGTATGTCTGCCATACCAGCAAACTTACTGAATGTAAAGGTAGAGATTCACACTATGTGAATCCATGTGAATCCATGTGTCTCCATTCTTGAAAAGGTGTATCCACGGCAATAAATGCAGCTTAGGTTCAGTAAAATAAATTCTGAGAGTCAGAACATACATAACCTGAACAAAACAGCAATTTTACTATGCTTGCTTTTTCTGTCTGAAAGCCTCTCAAAACTAAATGGAGAAGCAGTGCCATAAGAAATAACCCATAAGTATGAAAAGGCTCTCTAAAAGAACCCCAAACCATATTTTTGGGCTGTGGGTGGAAGAAAAGGAAACTAAGCAAATTGTAAAACATAACTCGGTCCTGTATATTTTTAAAGAAACAGGGCACGGAGAAAAACGATGCAGATGTTGAATCAGGGTTTGCTGTTTCAATGAGCTTCTTTAAAAGAAAGAAAAATTAAATCTCTCAGCAAGCAAATGCAATACAGATACTAACATTGCTATTTTCAAAGCATTAACATTTGACTCAGATGATATTTTCTTTTTTTCTTAAATGCTTCACAATTATATTCTAGTACTGGCAACGCATTCTAATGAGATGTGTTCCAACACAATCTGCTTTGGTCATCACAGAGGCACAGAATCATAGAATGGTTTGGGTTGGAAGGGACCTCAAAGATCATCTAGTTCCAACCCCCCGCCACGGGCAGGGACACCCTCCACTAGACCACGTTGCCCAAAGCCCCATCCAACCTGGTCTTGAACATTTCCAGGGATGGGGCATCCACAACCTCTCTGGGCAACCTGTTCCAGTGCCTCACCACCCTCACCGTAAAGAATTTCTTTCTAACATCTAATTTAAATTGACACTCTTTTAGTTTAAAGCCATTACCCCTTGTCCTGTCACTACATGCTCTTGCACACAGTCCCTCACCATCTTTCCTGTAGGCCCCTTCAGGTGCTGGAAGGCTCTAATAAGGCCTCCCCGGAGCCTTCTTTTCTCCAGGCTGAACACCCCCAACTCTCTCAGCCTGTCCTCACAGGAGAGGTGCTCACGCCCTCTGATCAGCTTCCTGGCCCTCCTCTGGACTCTCTCCAACAGCTCCATGTCTGTCTTGTACTGGGGCCCCTAGAGCTGGATGCAGTACTCCAGGTGGGGTCTCACCAGAGCGGAGTAGAGGCATCCATGTAAGAAAACACATGCTTAGCTATCTAATTAACTTCTGTTCATCTTACACTAGCAGATTTTGATGCTAAAAGGTCATTAGATTTCAGGTAGGTACCAGTCAGATGACTTGTACCTGTAACAGGTTCTGTAGTTAAGAATAAGGCCATTGCTATGGGATATTTTAAGTTTAGCAACACTTTAAAAATGTGACATGAAACACTGTCAGAGGCATCAGGGAAATAAGGTGTAGGATACTGTGGTCCAACTTCTAAACCCTTGGAGATACCTCCACCCCTTTTTCCACAGGAAAGGACTGGACAACTTGCCAAGCAGACTGTCCAAATGATACAAATACCTCCTTTTATCTCCTCCACAAATGACTGCAGTGCTGCTCTGGACAGCAATCGGAAATCCAACCCTGGGCAGCAAGCCACCACTCACAGTGCTTCTCAGAGCAACACAAGTGGCTTTCTTTTCTGCAATAAGCACTTGAAAGCATTTGAGTGTCTGCCTGCCTGCAGTGAGAGGGGGTATGATGTAAGCTGTGAGAGGGACAAGGGATGTCCTAAATCAAAATCTGGATTATCATGATTTAGCTGAAACTTTTGTAAGATGAGTTTTGTCTTCTATCTAGTTATGTAGCTATCGATGGTTCAATGTAACACCAGTGAGGCATATAAAATGGATTTCATAGGAGTCTGTTTTGAGTCCAGTATTATTCAGTATTTTCATGGATGGCTTGAAGGACTGGATAATGAGTACAAACAGCATTATGTCTAGAGAGGCTGAAAGCAGACTGAAGAGCAGCATTTAATTTCAAAATTATCTGAACAAAATGATCAGTGACAACTGTGAATGAAGGAAAATGTACAACGTAAACTCATATATAAAAACCAGGAACAAATAGCTACAAAATAGAAAAAAGGACACCAACTGGATGCTATATTATTCTAGGAGATAAGCACCTTATGGCCACTAGGACCTCAGGGAGATTACAAATAAAAGACTAGATGCATTCTCCCATTTAGGTGTTTATGTTAACTGACACATGACCCATAGGTTGATAGGAAAACATGAGATATTCAAAGGAGTCACACTTGAACACTTACTGGGGGGAGAAGGATATGCCCCTTTTTAAAGAGATTAATCAGGCAGCGCAGGAGATGTCAGACAGTCCAAACGCACGTGCATTCCAAGCAAATAAAACAATGCTTATTTGAACTACGAGGAATGGAAAAATCTATCCACTGAATGACAAAATACACACATCCCCCCTCCACCCCCAGATACAAAGATCAAAGCTATGCAACTCCCCAAAAACATTAAAAAAGAACTTAGCTGTAAAAAAACTAGAAAGATAAGCAGGAGGTGGAATAAAGGTGGAGAGACACCTTTCTGATCCGAAGAAACAGTTTTTCTAACTACTAGACCATTGTGATTTGAAGTTAAATGTTCTTTCCATCACAACCTCTGGACTTCAGAATTGCAAATGTTATTCATGGTGAATTCATTCATCTCTCAGGTTTCAGAATACCATCATTCTAGGTCTGTCTTATTAATCAGTGTTATTTATTGAAATGCGAACTCATCTAAACAGGTTAATTGTCAGTAATCAGATTTTCATCTTACTCAGCCATGCGATCTCAGCTCAATAATTTGTGCACTTAAGTACCATAGCTGTGCATACAAATAAGTTACTTAGATTTATCCATGTCATTCCCCCTCTTCCCAAGTAGAGACTTAAAGCCATATAGCCTGTGTTTGTCAGTAACTGTATACTTACTCATTTTAGTGCAAGTCCTGCTGCTGTACAGCATTCTAGTCACAAAATAAGGTATTTTACATTGGTAAAGCTATTTTATGCTTGAAGACCAGAATACCTTCATATTATGTATATTCACACCTACATAGAGGGCTCTTCCAACATTCTGTACCATTAAAAAAATGAAGGCACTTCCAACCAAAGCTGCCAACCAATACCAAAACTGTGTGTAAATAAGGACTTGATATGGAATTCAAGAAGTTTACTCAGTTAAGAGACTTGAGCGAACCATAAGACATTCTTGAGCAGAACTCTTGGCAAACTGACTGCTTTATGACAGTGATCTTCAGTGGGATCTGTCTTCCTGGTTCACTGAGGCGAGTTAGCAAAATTCTGTTTTGACAAAGTTTGACTACTCCTGTGCATGAGTAAGATCATGAGTTTACAAGTCATGATGCACCATTCAACGCCTTGAAAAGAAAAAATAACATACACTTATGCCAGTCCCAGAGATAGGAAGATCTGCCTTCCAATAAAATTTTTGGTGGGATGAATGAAATAATAAATGTATTTACCATTTCAGCTTACTGACACCTTCTGGAATCATGTTTTACATAGATTTTGAACTTAACTTAAATCAGTCTGTTGGACTATTTTAAAAAAAAACACACACCGCCTGTCTGTATTTTAAAGAGAATGTGTTGTTTCTATTCTGCTTCTAGTCTTAACAACAGCTGTTTTCTATAAAAGACCATGATTGCATGAAGAAAATTATACAGGATTAATCAACCTACTAAAAATACGCACGACTACTCTAAAGTTGTGTGAAGTTTTTTAAGCATTTCTCAAATCTGTCTTCATTAGAATACAATGTTTATGTACAAAATGCTTCAATAATTTTATACTTAAGAAATGCTTCTATTGAAGTATGCACACATAGTTAAGCAAGACAAAACATCATGATTATTACAAAGCAATTACTTGTGGGTTGTTGTTTTTTTCATCACCAACACATTTTTCAAGGATTCCTCACTAAATATTTATTAGTGAGAAAATTACTGATTATTTAATTAACAGCTTGTGCCCCACTAACGTCAACGACAATGCACTATTAAGGACTATCTATAAATACTTCAAAGAATAATTTATACTGGAACAGATCTCTAAAGTTCAGCCAACCCAACTAGACCCCACTCAAAGCAAGTCCAAGAAGATCAAATCGTCCATGATGTGATCCAGTCAAGTTTTGAATACCTCCAAGGACAGAGACTCCATGTCTCTTCTAGGCATCCACCTATTTCAATGTTTCACCACCTTAATGGTAAAAAATGTTTTCCTTGTATGTAATGAGAGTTTTTGATGGGTGGAAGAGTTGATCTGCTGGAGGGTAGGAAGGCTCTACAGAGGGATCTGGACAGGTTGGATCTGTGGGCCGAGCCCAATTGTATGAGGTTCAACAAGGCCAAGTGCCAGGTCCTGCATTTGGGTCACAACAACCCCAGGCAACGCTACAGGCTTGGGGAAGAGTGGCTGGAAGGCTGCACAGTGGAAAAGGACCTGGGGGTGTTGCTCAACAGCTGGCTGCATATGAGCCAGCAGTGTGCCCAGATGGCCAAGAAGGCCAACAGCATCCTGGCTTGTATCAGGAACAGTGTGGCCAGCAGGAGTAGGGAAGTGATTGTCTCCCTGTACTTGGCTCTGGTGAGGCTGCACCTTGAGTGCTGTGTTCAGTTTTGGGTGCCTCAGTACAAGAAGGACATTGAGGTGCTGGAGTGTGTCCAGAGAAGGGCAACGAAGCTGATGAAGGGTCCAGAGAATAAGTCTCATGAGGAGCAGCTGAGGGAACTGGGGTGGTTTAGCCTGGAGAAAAGGAGGCTGAGAGGAGACCTTATCACTCTCTACAACTACCTGAAAGCAGGTCACAGCCAGGTGGGTGTTGGTCTCCTCTCCCAAGTAACAAGCAATAGGACAAGAGGAAATGGCCTCAAGTTGCACCAGGTGAGGTTTAGATTGGATGTTAGGAAAAAAATTTTCACTGAAAGGGTTATAAATCACTGGAACAGGCTGCCCAGGGAAGTGGTTGAGTCACCACTCCTGGAGGTATCTAAAACCTACCTTGACAGGGAGCATGTGCTTTGTGTCATACAAAGAACGGCACATTTTCAAAATTTCATTTCCTGTGTTCTCCTTTTCCTCAGGTCGGCATCTCTGTAGCATAACTGTCCCCAGTTTCACCCAGGGATTATCATCTATGCACGATCTGCCAAGAAAAAACAGAGATGTACGTAGAATATATACATACATACACACCCCCATCATTTTCTGTAGGTGTATTTTGTTTTGCTGTTGTTGTGAAGCAAAGTACAATCTCATAAAAGAAAGAGGAAAAAGTTTTGAGACAAGTTACTATCCTGATGCCATCATTCTTTCAATGCAACAAAGAAGCTTAAAGTATTTTGAATTATGATATGCTGTTGCAATCCCAGAGGAATCATGCACCAGATAAAGATTGATCAAATTGGAATAGCATAGGAGCAGCTTCTCCTGGCTTTATACCAACTAATTTCCCAAGCAGAATGGTATCGAGGGAGGGGTGACAGGAATCCAGCATTCCTAATTTTGTTTGCTTTGATCACATTCTAACAGCATCTGTCTCTCAAGTATCTGTCTCTTGCTTCTGAGTGGAGAAAATATTTCCAAGATTCACATTTTAATTTTCAGGTCCAACAAGTACAAACAAAAATAAACTTTGTTTTTATAGCCCATCCAAACAGGGTAGGAGAGTGAAAGAACATGCATCTGTACTTATCCGTTACTACATATGGATGCAGATACACTTGTTTTACATATTTAAAATGTTCTTTTCATTCCCCACAGAACTTCATGCTGTGTCACCATTACACAGTCAGACTTAAACAGAGAGCAGACAGTAGATACAAGTGAATTTTATCACACCTGATGGCAAAATCAATGTTTACAATACATTTTTGTTGCTTGAACATTTCTTGGCCTACAGTCACTATTTGCTAGATCATGGAGATGGTTGGCTACTTTTGTTAGGGATAGGTATATTTGCTAGGACTGGATGTACTGACAGAAATGGGTAGCAGAGCAGAGCTTTTAAATGAAGTGTAACACTGGAACACATTCACACTGCCATTTTCCTAATGTGAATTAAGTTAATGCATTTCAATTCCTATCTACAATGGGCTAAAATCATGCACAATCACAGCTTAGATCGCGATTATATTAAGCCACAGTAACGCAACCACTATGTTCATCTGTGCATAAACTTAGGAAGGCACGAAAGGTGGTTTAAAAATCACCCCATCAATCTCTCTGGCCATTAATCAGCAACTCAAAGACATGGGAAGCTTTTCATTTTAGCTTGAAGGGAAAAAAAAAAAACCCAAAACACAATAAGACCAAATCTGGCAGGTTGGTCTTACAATTTAATGTAAATTAAGATACACATCCAGCACATGTGGGAAGGAGTAGTAAAGTGCTGTCAAAGTGCTGCTTTTCGAAGAGAAATTGTTGAAAGTAACATATTAATACCACTGTAAACGGAGTCCATTAAGAGAGTCTGTTGGATTGACATATACCAAGGAATAGGTCTGACAGCTCTGGAGAGGACAACCACCAATATCTACCATTTCCTATATAAAAGCTCTCTCCTGCTCATCTTCCACTTTCAAAAGGACATACTGTAAACAAACAGAACCAGCTCCACATGAAGCTGACATTATATCCTAAGATGAAAAGCAGACAAGAGATTCTAGGAGTTAGTAACTTTGACTGCAAACTAAATAGAAGTCATTATCTTTATTCCTTCTGACAACTTAATTGAGCCTTTCCATCAGTCACAGTTGCTGCGCACAAAGCTGTCACAAGTCTGGCAGGGAACCGCAGAGCTGAGCTCTGCTCCGCTCCTCTCCTCTCCTTCCAACCTGATGGGCCGAACCGAAAGGTGCCAGCTCATTCAACAAGCAGAACACGATGCACTAAATCTATGAACCCCCAGTAAGGTTAGAAGAAGAAAAAAACCCTGCAACTCCATCTTTGCCACTGGTTAAATTGATAGCTCCTGCTCTGTGATCCATCTCTTGCTTAGAGGCACGGAGCGCCATAATGAATTTCCATTTTTATAGCTGCTGCCTCCAGAGTACATTAAGAAAACCTATAAGAATTTCCCATTAGAAAAAGAAAACACACACACAAAAAAATCACACTACAAAACACAGAAGTTAGCAATAACCAGGAAGATGCAAGGCCACAAAGCTTGCCATATGCAGGTATTAATATTTAAGTAAAATACCATATACTCTGCATATATAAAAATTTTCTCAACACAATTCCTTATGATTATTTCAAATACTTATGTGATCTATTTACAAACAGATCTCTAAATAAAAACAAGATTCAGTTACTAAAATCTCTCACCTACGGGTAGAATTCAGTTTTATTCTCACCTGAATTTTACCTTAGTTCAACCATGTTTAAAATAATAGTTATTTCTCAATATGAAAAAATTATTTCAAAAACTCAGCATGAACACATTTTTGCCCAGAACCACAAGAGGGAAATTTGGGATTAAGTTAAAAAAAAAAAGGAAAGGTGAACTAAGCTATTGAGTCTCTAAAAGGTGGTCTTTTTCAGTTCCAAAACACCTTATCGGTATTTAAAATAAGTATTAAAAATGCCTTTTGAATGTAGGTAGCAAGTTCCAAAGGACTGCAGAGCTTCAGGTATTGTCAATAATTTTTTTTTAAAAAAAACTTCTTTATGAAATGCTTAAAATGACCTCTGAATATGAGACCGCTAGACAGAAAAGCATGCATGCTTAACAAGGGTATGAAAATAAAATTTTAACAAGTATATGGTTTTGAGTGCTGACAAACAACCAAACTACCTCTCTGTTTCCTCACAGTCAACATAGCATGTTATGATATGATGAGAATCATATTTGCAGATGAATAATGAACATTATTTTAGCTGGTGTGCTTTAAAATACAAGAACCCAAAAAACATTAAAAAGCACACACTTATTAACAGAGAGGTCAAAAAATCTTTAAAAAAAGTAAAAGGTTACTAAAAAAAAACCCCAAACCAGTTCTTTTACTTCTCCTTCCTTTTAAGCCTTTATAGAATGCAAATTGTATTTTCTAGCTTTACATTCAATTCTAAGCATTAGATATTTACTGTTCAGTTGAAAACCGGAATTCTAAGTATTCAGATGACTCAAACTTAAATTCCCCAGTTCCTGCACATATCATTACACTGGCAGTAATCAATCAGTTAGCAACAATGACCCTGTTCTGAAGGAGAGGAGGAAAAAAACAAGATTAAACAAAAATCTTAATACATATGGCTAAACAATTGGCTTAACTGCTCAGTTTTCCTCTTTGCTCAAGAATTTCTTAATGCAACTTGCTTTAAAATGAGATTTTCAAAAACCTCACTAACAAAACAGTTCCTGCTCCTTACTGCAACCCAGCCATCAAGATAGGTTTTTCAGAAACACAATTTCAAGAACAAATATATAAAAAACCCACCCTGGGCTGGTAACTGAATGCTGTTAACATGGAAGTACGCAACAGAGGCAAAGGCAAGAGGGAAGCACGAGCAATGAAAGAGGAGGAGCAGGCCGCAGAGCAGAGCACGCCCTCCCAAAGATGTGGAGACGCATGAAGGATAACAATTGTCAATGACAATGGGGAAAGAGAGGAGAGAAGGTTCAGATAATGAAGGTGGAAAGTACCAAAGACTTTTTTCATTGCTGTTAGGCCTCATACTTACAGCACAATCTCTGCTTCCTGGCTGGCATGAATAATTCCAGGATTTACAAGGCAAAATAATTCAAATTAATAAAATTAATTTAAAAATTTGAAAGCTCATTAAAAATGACCTATGATACAGATGATCTAAGTATTTTGTGCAAATTTTCAGACTTCACAGCTCTTGGAATTAAGAGGTATCCCATCTCTGAAATTAAATCCACTGTTAGTTTTGACTATGAATCACATTTAATCATTATTTTGTTTTCTCTTCTTCACTTTAGAAAGTCAGCCTGAAGGAACAGAACACCAAGTGGGAGATAAAATTAAATAATTTTTAATTTCCTCTGCTACAGAGCAGTATACAATAACTGTCTATATAGAAGGGTTCTACTTTCACAAAATCTTTAGTCCTTCTGTTCAACCCAAGGAGAAAGAATTTTGCTAACTGCAGCAATATTTCACTTGACCCTTTGTTCCATAAGTTCAACACTTTTTTTTTTTTAATCTAAACACCACCTTAAAAAAAGTTTGACAGTTCCTGCAAACCATGAGGCATCCAATTTTCAATTACAATTACAACAAAACTGAAAGGAAAGTTGGAATATGAATTTGTGACAGATCACAGAGCAGTCCCTGTACTACTTACTGCACTGAAGACAATTTTTGGCTCATAAAACTGTCATAAAGGACTTCAGGTTAATCCTCATCCAGAAATTGCAAACAAACTGCAGGCTTGAAGGTGAATAACCCTTACAGATTACCTTCTAATGGACCAGTTGTCTACAAGTACACAAAAGAGTTACTTTTTTATAAAAAGATAAGCCTTAATTTTTCTGAGAAATCAATGCACATAAACAGTTTGGGGTTGTAATCAATATCCCACAGTAATCCAATGGAAGCATCATTTAATGTCTCTAAGCTAACTACCATCAGATAAAACACGACACACTGTACTCGCTAGCCAAAAATTTAATATTATTGCTATCTTTGAAAGATACGTGACTTTTGCCTCATAAGATTATATGCATCCTTAAATCTTAGAAATGATCATCAATTATAGAACAGAATCACTAAAATTTTTGCCTTTCAATGTGTACAGAAAGTCACAGACTGTGTTGGGTTTGCATGGCAAGGTTTT